AGGGCCAGCATGGAGCTGGGGGGTTGGGGGGGTCCCATATGGGGTCTATAGGGAAACGCTGTAGGGCGGGGGTAGGGACTGGGAGGGGGGAATGTCCCCTATGGGGTCTGTAAGGAGCTCCTGTAGGACCAGAATGGAGCTGGGTGGGGGTCACAGAGTGCTGCCCCATGCCCCTCTGCCCCACAAGTCCAGGTTTCAGGGTGGGAGAGGCACTCTGTAAAGGGAGATAGGGAAATTCTCCTATATGGATTTGGAGGGGGCTCTTCCTAAAGGGTCCAGGCTGCAGAGCTGTCCCCTACAGGGATGCAGGTCTCTATAAGTCCTTGGGGCTTGGCAGTGGGGAGCTCGGAGTCCAATGGGCTTCATCTCATTCCTGGGATGAATCCTGGAGTGTGCAGGCATCCCTGTCCCCTCATCCGTGTCCCTGTCCCCTCCTGGCCCCCGGGGTCGAGGCCGCCTGCGGAGCTGCTGCCGAACTTGCCCCTTTCCCCTTGCAGGCATTTACGTGTGTGCCAAGTGCGGCTACGAGCTCTTCTCCAGCCGTGCCAAGTACGAGCACTCGTCCCCGTGGCCAGCCTTCACCGAGACCATCCACGAGGACAGCGTGGCCAAGCGCAAGGAGCGGCCCGGCGCTTACAAGGTGCCGATTCGAAAGTGCTCGGGAAAAGGAACAAAAAAAGCAGAGCCCTTTTCTCATAGCAGAGTCCGACTACCCTCTCTCGGGAGACCACTTATTGCAGGGCTCTCCTTGTGTTTCCAGGTGTCTTGTGGCAAGTGCGGCAATGGGCTGGGCCACGAGTTTCTCAACGATGGGCCGAAGAGGGGCCAGTCCCGCTTCTGAATATTTAGCAGCTCGCTGAAGTTCGTCCCCAAAGGTGAGGGCTGCCCTGTGAGGGGTTTTATGTGCTCTTCAGCTTGGCTAAGCGCTCCTACAGTTGTCCTAAATCTTGCTTCCCAAATCCCTGCTGTGCCAAGCCTGGGCATGGAGACTGGGCAAAGCAAGGGCAGGGAGTTCCCGACCTGATGCTCACACAGCTGGGAGGATTTGCTGTGTCGTCACCCACAGAAATCACATGGGAAGTTTGGATATTGCTTTACAGATGGGGAACGGATCTGCCAGGAAGGGAAAGGCTGCTCTCCCTTGTGGTTATCACACTGTTTTACTTCCTCTGAGTCAGAAAAAGGCTTTGGGGAACCTTGTCTGAGGGCAACACCGTGGCTGCATGTGCTGCTGTCCTACTTATCGCATTGTAACTCCTGTGAAATATTAACTGCGTGTAGCAAAATAACTGTATAAAGTAGACTGCGGGTTTTGGAGCAAGAAAGGTGGACCCTGATTTTTTTTTTCTTTTCTCTCCTCCTTATAGACAAAGTAGAGGACTCGAAGGAGAAGTAAGCGAGCTGCTCTACCCAGCACACCGCTCCTCAGCTGATCCCACGCTCACGCTTTGGGATGGACCGTTGGGTCAACAGGGCACTCGGAGCAATAGAAAACCTGAAGAAAAGAAGCTACTGGTTCCCCCAGGCCAGTTCTCTCCTTAGAAACGGTTCTGGGTGCTGGGGGCAGAGCTGTGGCAGGGGAGCCTTGGGGAGGGCAGGGCAAAACGTGGTTGCTGGAGCTCTGCTCCTGCCCGGTGGTGGGTTGTGCGGCTTCCATCGGAGGTTGCTGTACATGCGTTGGACTGATGCAAACGCTGCAGCTCCTCATCCCACCCGCCCTCCTCTCGTCCGCCTGTTCTCTGAGACACCCTGCCCTCTGCCAGCACTGGCTCCTACCCAATCCCTCCTGGTTCATCCCCTTGGCAGTAGCACGTGCGCCTGCCGAGCTCTGGGGCCCTTCTGCTCTCGAGTGTGGCAAGGCCAGGGCTCCCCCAAAGCTGCTGCCATTTCTGTTCATCACCAGCTGCGATCCAGAGTCACTCCGCTGCTGCTTCCAGCGGGTAGCCCTGGATAACAGGGATCAGAGTCTGGGTTAATCTCTGGGTGCTATTCTGGGCTGGGGTCATGGTATGAATTGTCCTATGTAAACCCTTCCAGGATGCTAGGGCAAAGATGATTTTATGATCCTGCTAGGCAAAATCCAGGTATTTTACCCTTCTGCACATCTTGCACACAGTAGAGACGGTTCCAGATTTATTGTGTTCCCTGGGCTTGATTCTGGCCTTTCCTCACGCCAGGTCTGTTACTGTGTCAAATCAACCCAGTGGTGTTAACGGTTCCATGCAAGGAAGACCAGAATCAGGCTCAGCGAGTGCCACTTGCATAACTCGGGCTTTAGGAATCACGTTTGAGTGTCCTTTGCCCTGGGAAGGGCCACGGCGCTGATTTGTCCTTAATTCGCACTGTGATCCTGCCCCGTGTTCAGTTAGACACGCACAGATGGGTGGCAAACCCCAACCCTTGGCCACCGTGAGCC